TGAGCTCAGGCAATTCACCTGCCTCAGCCTCCCAGAGTGCTAGGATTATAGGCATGAGCCACTGTGTCTGGCCCAGAACTCAATCTTATTTTGTCATATGACTTTCTGGGAACCAGGGTGAGAGTAATGCAAACTAAAAGTCCTAATTCTCTGCAGGTTCCCAAACTGAGAGAAACCAAAATCCTTGGCCTTGATGTGTTCAGTTACATAAAGAGAAAATGGATCTGAATATGTTAGATCATTCATATTCCCCCCATTCTCAGTCTCTGTGATGATGTTAAGAACAAGATGAATGCCTGCTTTCCCAGCTGATAAAGTTATATCTCATCCTTATTGAATAGAGACGTGTAGCCTTGGGACTATGTGGTTCAGTATAGTAGCCGTTAGCACATGTGGCTATATAAATTATTTTAAATTAGATAAAATGAAAAACCCAGGGCTTCAGTTGCAATTAACCATATTTCATATGCTCAATAGCCATGTGTCCTAGTGGCTACCATATTGGACAATGCAGATATAGGACCTTTTTTTCTTTTTGAGACAGAGTCTCACTTTGTTGCCCTCGGGAAAGTGCTATGGCGTCATAGCTCACAGCAACCTCAGAGTTTTGGGCTCAAGCCATTCTCTTGCCTCAGCCTCCTAAGTAGCTGGGACTATAGCTACCTGCTACAATGCCTGGCTATTTTTAGAAGCACAGTCTCGCTCCTAGGCTTGTCTCAAACTCCTGAACTCAGGCAATCCACCTGCGTCGGCCTCCCAGAGTCCTAGGATTACAGGCCTGAGTCACCATGCCCAGCCTCAGATATAGGACCTTACATCATCCCAGAACACTGTTTGGAAGACACATTTTGACTTGCCACATGTTTGATTTTCTATAGTGGATTCCTTGGGATTTCATTAATTCAGTACTTTTTCAAGACCTACTGGCACCAAGCACAGTGCTTGGTATTGGGGATGCAAATACGAAGTCAGATGTCCTTTTTGCCCTTGAGATAAATACTGCAGGAAGACAAATAACATAACTATTCTAGCACAGCATGATGAGGCTGAAAGATCCAGAGCTCCAGACCTCCAGAGACCTAGTGGATGGAGGGTAGAGAGGGAGAGAGAAGGAGAGAAGGGAGTGTAATTCAGACTGGTGAGGGGTCAGGAAAGACTTTGTAGAGAAAGCCCCAGTATGCAGAATACTTCCACGGTGGACATGGTGACATTGATAGGTAACCTGATAAAATGCTCATTCCTTTTTGAATATTTTTGTTGTATGCACTTTTAACAAACCACATCCTTTTTCATCCTTTGGAGTTAGGGTTAGGTGTTACTGTGTAGCATACTCACTTGCCCGTTAATGATATAACTCATCCTTCCAAACCCACAGTTGCCACTTCAATCTTTCGTCCAAAGGGCGAAAGAATTTAAAAGAAACAGCACAACTTCTCCCAGGCCCAAAAAGACAAGTGAGGTCAGAAGAATGAATGATGCTGACCACTCCTAAATTCAATACTAGATCAAGGCTAAAGTTTCCCTCCAATTTATATCACTCAATGACTTCATATACCCCATGCTGTGGATCTAGTTTTCTAGGAGAAGAGAAAGCCAGGGATTCAAGAATTTAGGGGGTCACCTCGATGGATCATGCTCTTTTAGTGCTCTTACATTTGTAGCAGATGATTTTATTTGTGGCTGTGGGAACCTGGCTCCTTCAGAACCAAAATCACCATATTAGTCATCTTAGTTCCCCTCACACAGGTAAAACTTACAGACACTGCCAGCCAGTGTGACTAGAAGCTTGTGACAAATGACATGAGAAAAGTGTATAGGAAATAAGACAGCTGGATGTAGAGCTTATTCTAGCTTGGTCGGCTAGTTATCATCAGGGTTAAAATTGCAGGTGTGGTGGATATCCAGTCCTCTTTATAAATGGACCACTCCCACTGTACCTTCTATGTCAGTCTAAAAGTCACCCCTAACCTCAGTGTTCAGGGTATCTTTGACTACCAGGCGGTTTGGTTACATAGCACATACTCATCCTAAAGGAATCAAGAGTGCTACACAAAGTAAGAAAAAGGTAAATATGTTTTCTAAAGTGGATATCCATATCCGTGCCTTCACATAAAAGCATTTCTGACTGGGAATCCATATAGTGTGTAAATGGCAGACGCCATGATGGTGATGTGTTCAGGCCTGTATCATGGGTGTGATCTGTGCAGTCACACAGAGCCCTGGGCTTAGTTTAATGCTTTATCACCATCCTGAAATTCTTAATCATTTTTGAACAAGGATGTCAGAATTTACATTTCATACCGGGTTGTAAATTATGTCACTGGTCTTGGGTGTATCTATGTGGAAAAGGGCAAGAAGGGGTCTTTCCCCCTCATATGTATACAGTAGCATTCTTTCTTATTTCCTAACATTGAAAACACAGCATAGAAAAGTAGATGTCACCCCCTGAGTGCAAAAACCATCCAAATCTATATCAAGGAACTAGACATGTACTGTACACTATCTCCACAGGAGAAAGACTTCCCTTCCTTCTAACAGGCAGTACCAGTTACCTACCCTAGTATCCATCACAGAGTCAACACTGGAAGCTCTCCTAAAGCAGCAAACCATGGCCTGTGTTTTCATAAATAAAGTTTTATTGGAACACAGCCATACCCCTTCATTTACAAATTGTCTGTGGCCATTTTTGCCTTCAGGGATAGAGTTGAGCAGCTGTACCAAGCTACATGACTTGAGAAGCCCAATATATTTATTATATAACTCTTTACATAAAATGTTTGCAGACCCATATCTGGAAGTATTGGGTGGTGCTTGAAAGTGTGGTCCATGAACTGGCAGCATCAGCATCATGTGAGATAGTGATTTTCAACCAGTATGCCACAGCACACTGGTGTGCTGAGAGAGGATCTTAGGTGTGCCACGGAAATTTGTAAAGATTGTTAATCAAATTATTTGCAAAAGAAGTTCAAAGCACAGGAAGTTTATTTTTATTTTTATTTTTTGATCAACATAATTTAAGAGGGCCATAGAAGTTTAACTGTAGGCTCAAGTGTGCTATGAGATAAAAAAGGTGAAAAAACATTCATAGAGGAACATATTAAAAA